TTACTGGAATTAGTGCACAAAGGTTCTGTTAGATGAGGAAAATATTTTTACTAATTTTTTTTTTTTAATCATCTGGCAATTAAATAAATTAATAAATACCAACAACATTCTTCTTATTTCTATAACAACTGTACAAGAATCCTGGAACTAAATAATGAATCATAGATAAATGTTATCCACCATATAAATATTTTCTGTACGGGGCCAACAAAAGACCTATGTACCATTTAATTTTTCTGTTAACCCTAATTTGAGGGTTTAAATGTGATCTGTTGGGTTTATAGGCTTCTGTTGGCTCCCTGCCTGGGGTGAATTTCAATTTCTGAGAACAACAGGGGGGTTCCTGATTAGAGCATAGCAAATAATTGATTTCTCACTTAATTGCAAGTCCTGAAAAAACTGAGAAAAAAAAGTTTCACTTTAGCCTAAACTAAATCACAAAATTGTGAAAAATCTCAATAAATTGGGAAAAAAATGTTTTGAGTCAAATGTTCATACAATCCAAAATGGACTTCTTTAGGCATTTATAAAGGGTAAGGTTCACAATATGGCTGAAGGATAGAGGAGTACTGATCCTATATAAGCTGGTGGCAAGCTTGCTGCTTTTATAACTTTTAGCCCTGTGGGATAGGAAAGATTCAGGTTCAAGATTCCCCGCCCCTTTAGGTTGTCTTATGAAAGACAATGAATAGGCATTGAAACAGAACACAAGAGAGAATGACTGCATTGCTAAGTAGAAAGGGCATTCACCTAGGATGTGTTAGCTAGTGGAGCAAGGAGTTGTGTCTATTTAATTATTTATGAACAGTGGACCAGTTTCAAAAGGAGACACTGAGAAACACCTACACCAGGGTATCCCATAGCTCACTGACTAGGAAATGATCCTGAAATACAGGAGCTCCAAGTTTGTCTCTGTACTTTACAGGCTGCCATACAGGGCTCATCACTATATTATCTGAGAGCTTTCCAGTAGTGATCTAAGCAACATGACCACACATCTGTCATGTTTGTCCTCTCACCCTCTGGCCAGAGCGAGATGCATGCGCAGCACAATATCTTGTTTTGGTAGCTGTAGTTGTGATGTTTCTCATGACACCTAGGGCTATGTGTCATGTAGGTGAGTGGGGCTGCTGGTGGGGCTGGAACAGCCCTTCACCCATGGCTAGCCAGGGGCAGAGGGCTGCTCTCGGGTCCCAGTTAACCATTACCTGGCAAGTATTACCCGTTAAGAGTGATGCTTACTGGGTTACCGGTAACCCATTCACATCCCTATCCAAGACCCTGATAGGTGTCCCCTTGTGGTATCCAGTCTTTGATCAATAGCTGCCCACAGACTTCCCAGACCATCTGCTCCCAAAGGAACAATGTACTCCAGTTTTATCTCAGACCACTGCTCCTGTATCATGCACGGCACTTGAGCTCAATTATAAAACAAAATAATTGATGTAAGAGAGAATAGAGATTTCAAATAAAAATCAGAAAGAGAGATGGAAACAAGTGGTTACATATAAAACAAAATATCAGGAGTTCTTGAGGCTAACTGTTAGTAAGCCTGTCTAAACTAGCTTTTCACCCAAAGTGTTCTCTATTATTTTCAACTAAGCCTGGCAGATCTCTTTCTTCCTTTCTTCCTTCCTTCCTAGAAAATCCTGTGTCAATTTACTGTCTAAGCAGGGTTCCCTGTAAGGCGCACACCTCCACAGGCGTGCACCAAGAATTTCAATCCCATTAACTCTCAGCAGAGCCATGCAGTCATGGCCCCATCTGCTCCGGAGGGCAGGGCAATGTGGTGGCTGCCGGAGCTGTAGCCTGGGCCACAGTACTAAAATATAGCACTGCGGCTCGGCTCCAGTCCTGGCATACAGAGCATGCTTCCCGGAGAGCCCTAAGGAGCAGAGACAGGCAGTTGCCACTTTAGCCCTCAACCCCGCAGGAAGCAGAAAGGAGGCAGCAGTGTGCTGGTAGCTGGGTTTGGCCTTTAGCTAGCGACTGAGCTGTGTTTCTTTATTCCTGGAGATGCACCCGGGCCAGTCCTGTGCTGCACACTGCAGCCACCTCTCCGTGAGTGTTAAGGCCACCCTCCTCAGTCCCTACCCATTTCTTCGACCCTCCCCAGGGCCCTGCCTTCTCTTCCCTTCTCCTAGTCCACCCTTTTCACTCTCCTGGTCTCTTCCCATCCTCCCACCCTGGCCTTCCAGTCACACACTCCCAACCCTCACTAGAGTTGGCAGATGGAAAAAGGGAGGGGACAGGGTGATGCTGAGAGAGGAGAGAGGAGGGACACTGGGGGCAAGAGGAAGGAAGAGGAAAGGGGAGGAGTGGGTGCCAGGAGAAGAGGGGTTGAAAGAAGGGATGTAATGAAGAAGGTGAGGGATGGAGCAAGTTATGTGTCAGGGTGCAGAGGATGCGCGACAACTGAGGCAGAGTGTGGTGAGAGGGTAGGCACCAGGGAGGAATAGGGCAAGGGAGGCAGGTGTTGGAAGGGCAGAGGCAGTGTTGGAAGGAGGAGGCACCAGGACAGAGCAGGGGGTAAGGGAAGGTACAGGTGTCAGGATGATTGTGGAGCAGAGAAGCATGGCAGGTGGGTAAAGGGAGGTGTTAGGAGAGGGGTTGGGGAGGGGGACTAGAGGAGGGGTGGGCATGAGGAGAAGGGAAGGGTGGGTGCAGGGGTCAGAGAAGATAGGGAGGGGGCCAAGTCCCCAAAGTGTTCAGGGAAATGAGAAAGGCAGCAGCCAGGACAGAAGAGGAGGGTGTGGAATGGGGGGGCAGAAGCAGGCACCAGGGGAGTAGGTGGGGGTGAGGAGAGGGTGGGAGACATGTAAGCAGAGGGGGAAAGGGAGAGGTTTATATGTTGGGTGCCACAGTGGCACACATCCGAACAAGCTTACATCACCTAATTATTGGTGCACAAGACAAAATTTACTCTGCTCATGGATGAAATATCATAGAGGAAACACTGTTTCTAAGCCCTGGTCTACACTAGGGAGTTATTTTTAAATAATTCCCCTTATTTTGAAATAAGAAGCGGAGCCTCCATATTACCAAGCCCCGTACTTTGAAATAAGGAGCTGGTTATTTTGAAATAATAACTCCTGCTTTCTATGAGGAATAACTTATTTCAAAATAGTTATTTGGGGAGTTATTATTTCAAAATAAATTATTTTGAAATAATTTCCTAGTGTAGACATGCCCTAAGTGAAGGATCCTAGGGTGTTTCTCCGCACCTCCAAATTTATTAAAATAGAACTTTGACTTCAAAATAGAGCGCCCCCTGCTGTTTACTTCTTCCTGTTAATTTCCTTCTGAAGTCTCCCCCAGCTCTTTATTAGCTTGACCTAGATTGCTATTTGTCTGCCATATAATATACATATAATATACAGTATTCTATCATGGAGATAAATGCCTTCTGTCATCTTTGGGAAGACATTTTTCTCCAAATAGATTATCTTTATGTTACCTGGTTTTAACTACAGACCTACAGAATATACTATTTAGTGTATGTACATAACCCCTCAGATAGTTTCCTTATGAGTAATGATTAGGAACAGTATGACATGGGTTTTCAGCAAGGACTACATTACCCCTTTTGTTGAATGCATAAGATCCTTGTACTCCTGTATACTCCTTCGGCCTATGGCACTTGGCATCAAAAGGTCCTTGGATTACAGTGGTTTGTTTAATATGAATATACCTATAGCCCTTCTGTATTCATATTCAAATCCATTTCTACACGAGGTAAAGAAGGTAACTGAAGCTGAGCCTCCCACATGTCAAGTGACTGCTCTAACCCCTGGATAAAAAGTTAAAGCAATTACCTCCTCTGGCCATTATGTGAATAATATCTAAGTGTTTTTTTTAAAAAGCCTAAAATGCTTTAGTAAATTTGTGTCAAATTCATGGATGGTTTCAAGTTGAGTGAAAGTGCATTTTTCGTGAATAAATTATTAATCAAATATATTTTCCCAGCTTTATTGCAGGAACAGGGCCACAGCTCAGACACATGCCAATGGAAAGATTCCCAATAACTTGAATAAGCATTGGAACAAGCCCTTGCTATAGGTCTGGTACCAATTTCTTTCACTGGTCTTATTTCATTGGTTTCAGTGCAGTTGCTCCTAATAGGTATACATTGAAAGATGAAACATTCACAAAGTGTAAAAACATGGTATGAAAAAAATAACATGAAGGCAGACTCCGCATTCTAGCATTTCTTTCCATATTTCATCAAAAATAATCTTCCCCAGTGTATTACTTCAAAAAAATTGACACCTATTCATTGGCCACCTTACTCATCTATAGAGACTCTAATTAGTTCTTCAAATGAAATTATGGGTCCAATCCTGCTACAATTGAAATAATTGGCAATGCTCCTATTGACCTTAATGGGAGAAGGTTGAGGAACAATGTAACATTCCCCACAGAAATATTTTAATCAACACTAGAAGCATATGTAACTAATCAGCTACATTATGGTTAAAACAATTTTAAAAGTTAGAAAGATGACATAATCATAACAACAGCTGCTGTACAAATGGCACATCTGATTCCTGTCAAATGATTTTGGAACAAAAAAGCAACAATAAATGTGTGGTAAGATATCTTAGAAAATTTAGAATAATGTGCATCATGTACATAATCAAATCTTGCTTTTCTCACTAACCTAAGTAGTCCTGTTGAAATCAAAGGCAGTTCTTAATGTAAATAAGGAAAGGAAGGTTTAATCCTATTCTTCTTCTAAGCACATAAAATACATGAAGGCCTAAGTCTGATGTAACATTTATTATGGGAGAACTTGTGAAGACAATCTACTATAGATTTGAGAGTGTTTGTGCATGAGTCCGTCTGTCTGTGTCAGTTTTCAAGAACCCTGTAAATGGGCAGCAGTGCAGTCCCGCAGCACCCCTTCTCTACATCCCCTCGAGGTCCCTTCAAAAGTCCTCTCAAGGTCCCTTCCGCTCACCACTCCGTCGATTCCTCCACTGTTTGCTTTAGCCCTTTACCTCCACCTCCATGTCCTCCAGGCGTCGTCGCAAGGTCTCCTCTCCCTTCTCCGACACTGCCGTAACTGGGTGCCCCGTCCACACACTAGGGAAAAGGAAACAAGAGAAGAGCCGACTCAGCTCCCCCTTCCTCCTTCCTTCTCTCCCCTCTGTTGTCACATACTAAAATAGCAGTGAGGCTATAAACTGATATAGTTACTATATTGCACATCTTTTCTTTTAAAGACCACTGAAACCATTACATTTCCCAGCAGTCTCTCTTAAGTTTTCTAAGTGTACAGTTTCTGGTATCTATTCCCTGGAGGGAACTCCAACAAGAAGAGGCAGGTTGGTACAGCAGATAACTATCTCTTACAAACTATGCTTGATGTAGTAGGTAGTGATAAAATTCCCTTATCAGTTTGGATCCCCGGTGCCGGTTTTAAACTTCGGCGCCTTTTCCCACACTAGCTTACCTTCCAGTGTCCCTGCTCTCCCTGTGTCCACCTGACCTCTGGTTTGCACACTGGCCGGCACGTGCTTGCACTGTGAGGGAGCCCCTCCACACACCGCTTCTGCGCAAGTGCCACAGGCCCAGAACAGCAGCAGCCTGCCAGCCGCAAGCATGGTGCCGCCGGCAGAGCAAGTGCAGGAGGTGGGACCCCAGTCACAAACTCCTTCCCAAATGGCAAGAGTTACAGTAATAGTTAGCATCATAGTGCTTAGCAAGATACAAACCCCAGAAAGGGTACATGCTTTTCCTAAAAAGCTTGAAATTTAAATGAGTCAAGCAATGCAGTCCAGGCACATAATATACCAGATTGCCACCAAATGATGCTCCACTTCAGAGCCCTGCACCTTTTGCTTGATCTTGAAAATATAATTGAGTCCGTGATTGATTTGCATTAAAAAGCAGTTACATGCCTTGATTTTCACTTAATTTGAAAGAAGGTATAAAATAAATCAGTAAGAAATATGTGTTGAATAACACCACCTCCCTCATTTCACCTATATGACCATGGCATGGATTCATCATTTGCCAAATTTCCGCCTTTAAATCAAAGCTATTGTTGAGTTATACTGCATGAACACAAAAAGGCATTTTAAAGCATCGACTTTGGCAGGGGAAATAAGAATTAAACAATGATGGCTTCACTTATAAAGGGATTAATTTCAAGTGTTTTTTTTCTAAATGGAATATTCCTGAGCCGAGATTGTGCGTACCAAACTTTAGCCCAAAGCAACTACTTACCGATTTAATCATTTTTCCATATCTCTTTGTAAAACAAGCATAAACCATTTAACTATAGTAACAGAAAAGGAGCCTGCATACTATATCAAAGGTGCAATTTAAGTTACAAATGTACAAAGAATGTGGGATAATCATGTGTAAATGTAGTAGAAAGCTCATGGACAGTAACCTGACTTACATGATAAGGTAAGATTCCAGTTTGCTTTGATCCACAGGAGATGAGCTGTAAAACACACATCTCTTCCGCTGCCTAGGAATGAAGAATTCTATTTGCTGCATTATGCATAACATCATTACTGACAAGGTACAAGTCAAGAGCAAGTGGTTCACCTATCCCACTGGCATACTAAAATAGCAGTGAGGCTATAAACTGATATAGGTACTATATTGCACATCTTTTCTTTTAAAGACCACTGAAACCATTACATTTCCCAGCAGTCTCTCTTAAGTTTTCTAAGTGTACAGTTTCTGGTATCTATTCCCTGGAGGGAACTCCAACAAGAAGAGGCAGGTTGGTACAGCAGATAACTATCTCTTACAAACTATGCTTGATGTAGTAGGTAGTGATAAAATTCCCTTATCAGTTTGGATCCCAACCTAAAGGCAACTGCTGTCCAGATTGTATAATGAAAAGATAGCATAGTGCAATTAAAGCTCTTGACCCACAGATACAGACTACCAAACATTGCTTGCTTTTTGCAGGCTTGAGGGCTGGGAATTTGGGCTTTACATTTGCTGAACAGCTTTTTCAAATCCACAAATAAAGTAACCTCTTCCCTCCCAAATCCGTCCCACCCCAGCCCAAACACATGCATGTGTATATATTATAGGCAAGGGCTAGTTGCGTTGTTTATGAACATTTTTCCACACTTCCCATTCAGAAAATTCCAGGGAAAACAGTTCAATATTTTCAAGAATTAAGCTAGAGATTAGGTGAGAAGCCTGGGAAGAGAACTGGGACTGTCAGCTGGTGGGGAAGGGAAAGATAGATCTGATGAGGAACTGGGAGAAGAAACTTCAGTTGGCTGGGGAAGAACACTAGGGCAAGATATAGGGTAAGATCAGGAGTGGCCAGGGAGATTGGGACTTAGTGAATGCAGAGAGGCTGGCTAGGGCTAGGACTGGTTGATCAAGAAGACTGGGATGGGAAGTCTAGGGAGTGGATTGTGGGACTAGGGAGGGAAGGAAAATGAGATTTGGAAACCTGGGGTAGGAGGAAGGGATAGGATTGGGACACGTTGGAGGGGAAAGAGCAGAAGCAGTTAAGCTTAGGCAAAAGTGTGCTGAGAAACCTGTGCCCTCTCAATACACTTATTTTCTGAACCTGGAACGGAACCCAAGATTCCTCGCCATTTCTCTACTGTCTGTGACCCCCTACCCTATCCCTGGGCAAGGTGTTACACCCTCCCACCCGCTTCTCCACAGAGCTCGTCTTCATAGAAGTAATAGGTTGTTATTCTCCAATTCCCAATGAAACTTTGAATGGCGGAGGTCAGAGTGGTGGATCTAAAGGTTCCAACCAAATCAAAACAATTGTGTCAATATGATGCCACGTGACAGAATTTCTGGGTTTTTTTTTCCAGTTTGCTTTTTAAAAACCTAGGTAGTTACAGAGGCCATTGGTTTGAAGAGTCAGGAATTAGGGAATGCCAGAATTAAGGTTGCCCGTGCTCCTAGAACCCAGTATGGGCTCAGTTTTTCAGTCCTTATGCCAGCAATACTCCCATTGCAGACAATGAGAGTTTTATCAACATAAGGACTGCAACTCTGGATGAGCAGAAGTCTGCTTAACCCTAGTGATCTTTCTATTACAAATGTAGGAAACACCCCCATAAAAAATGCTTGCCAAAGGAATTGTTGTTACTTTTGCATTGACTGTCTTTGGGTGATGTACTACTGCTGTTGTGATTAGTGGCAGTACTCATGCTAGATCTGCTGGATATAAGGGGGTGAGGAGAAGAGAGATTGAGAGAGAGAGAGAGAGAGAAGAGAGAGAAGAGAGGGCTGCTGGAAGGAATGGCATCCCATGCCTTTTCTGAAGTAGCCAAGGTTTGCTGGCTTTTAGAGTTTACTACAAGAATCAGTGCTGCTGAGTGTCATTCAAAGAGGGCAAATAGACTGAGGCCTAGGATGGCATTATTTCATCATATGCTGTGGATTGCTAATAGGGATGGTCAGATTGTGTTGTATGTTGGTTTTATAATTTTAAATAACTGGCAAGGTGTTCCAAACTTGGGGGAGAGCCACTTTTTATTTACTCTAAATCTATAGAAATAAAAATGTCAGCTGGACTCAGAGGCTCCATCTAGGCTGTGTCTACACTGACGTGATCTTGCACAAAAGTGGCCGCTCTTGTGCAAAAACTTGCTGCCTGTCTACACTGTCCGCGTGTTCTTGAGCAAGTAAACTGACGTTCTAATGTATAAAATCAGGGCTTCTTGCGCCAGAACTCTGACGCTCCCACTCAGGAAGAAGCCCTTCTGTGCAAGAGCTCTTCCAGAAGAGGCCAGTGTAGACTGGCAACATGAATTTCTTGCGCAAGAAAGCCCTATGTTTAAAATGGCCATCAGAGCTTTCTTGTGCAAGAGAGCATCTACTCTGGCATGGATGCTGTTGCGCAAAAGCACATCTCTTGTGCAAAAGCACATGCCAGTGTAGACACTCTCTTGTGGAAGAGTTTTTGCACAAGAGCTCTTCCGCAAAAGAGTTCTTCTGGAAGAAGCTGCCAATGTAGACATAGCCCTAGACTGCAGGCTTCTTTCGGAAGAAGCTTTTCTGCAACAGATCTCCCAGAAAAACTTTTTTCAAAAGAGAGCGTCTACATAGCAAAAGCACAATAAAAAAGCAATGTGCTTTTTCAAAAGATAGCGTCCACATTGATTGGACACTATCTTGCATGTAAGGCCACCCAGAACCAGTTCAGGCAGGGCATTAGGTCACCAGTTGCTTCCGAGTGCTGTTGCCTAAGGCTATCTGAGAGACGCGCTTAAAGGGACCCCCCTGGACAGCCATTTCTCTGCTTCTGCTGCGTGCTTGCCTACCTCTCCAAGGGTACATCTAGACTACAGGCTTTTGTTGACAGAAGTTTTGTCGACAGATTCTGTCGACAAAGCTTCTGTCGACAAAGAGCATCTAGACTACATTCAGTTCTGTCGACAAAGCAACTTGCTTTGTCGACAAAACCCTGTAGTCTAGACACAACCCTAGATGCAATAACACCTTCTGTCGACAGAACTCTGTCGACAAAAGGCGTTATGCCTCGTAAAATGAGGTTTACCAGCGTCGACAAAACTGCTGAGTTCTATCGACGTTATGTCAACAGAACTCAGCAGTAGTATAGACGCAGGTATAGTTTTGTCGACAAAAGTGGAATTTTGTCGACAAAACCCTGTAGTCTAGACACACCCTAAGAGTCAGCTGGTTCCCCAGCTTCTGGACACCACAGCATTCTTCTTGCCATGGAGCTGGAGCTGCCCCATGGCATGCAATGGCACCACACTGATATGCTGCAGTTTCTGCAGCAGTTTCTGCAGGCTGCCTTCATGGCCCTGCACAAGCTCAACACTGAGCATATCATTGAGACTCTCTTCCTATGTGTGGAAGCAAGACTCTTGCAACCGCACCTCACAGTGGAGAGATGCTTTTGGAGGCTGGACACCAGTTCCGACTGGTGGGACCGGCTGGTCATGGAGTGGTGGGAGGACCAACACTTCCAAAACTTTCTCATGCAGAAGGCCACCTTTATGGAACCCAGTGCCTAGCTCGCCCCTGCTTTCCGACGACGCAACACCCACCTGCGGACCGCCATCCTCCTGGAGAAGTGGGTCGCCATCGCCATCTGGAAGCTCACCACCCCGACAGTTACTGGTTGATGGGCAATCAGTTCAGCATGGGGAAGTCCACCATTGGGGCCCTCCTCATGGAGGTAAGACACTCTCGGGCTGCAGTCCCTGTGGCAGGGGGGTCCTGGAAAATGGGACCCTAGGGAAAGGAAGAG